CAGTGTGAGTTTGGGGTTAGCCCAGTATAGTATTCTTCACAACAGCCAAAAGCAGATGACTGTAGGGAAATACGAAAATATTTGCTTGTTGAATATTTTCCTCATTTCCAGCAACTTGTAGCTCAAGAACTTTAAGTGGTGTCTTTAATAACCCTTGATACATTTCTCTTCTGTGAATCTACTCAGTGTCTTCGTGACCCCATATAATTTTTTAGCATACATAACATCATGGTATGAATAAAACGTAGTCCCTAAATATCTATGACGAATCAATCCTTTAAGCAGCTTCACTGACTTCTGAACTCCCACAGCGGCACTTATTTTGACTATTAATTTAATTTACTATCAGCACCTTTCACTGCTACTATTTTTACTTGTAGCAGTGTACCCTGCAGATGGTTCTCTAGAAACACAGGCATATGATTTCCTTTCACTTGAATTCTTCCTTAGGTTCAATGCACGACATTAAATACCAGAAGTATGCAGAAGGCTATCCAGGAAAATCAGTGATATGGTGAGGGCTGAAAAAATTGGATCAGAAGGGTTTAAAGATGAATCAAGGAAGGAATGGGTGCAATACAGAAAGCAACTGAGTGACTTTGTTCAGTCCTGTTGTTGCTGTTGAGATGGAAAGTAAGAATATAGATAAAACCTCACTGTAAATCCCCTCTCTTCTTGACTTACACAGGTTTAAACTGTCACAAATGTGTGATCGCATCGATTGATAAGAAGCGTGGTTGATGCACACACACACATAGACACACACAAAGATTCAAGAATCCTTGGTGACATTAGTGACAGTCACATCTTTAACTGAAATATCAGTGCTTTCCTGTACTCTATATTCACTCTAACAACCACAGGGATTGGTCATTTACAGTCTCCTTTCATTAGCTAATGCCTTAGTGCCCCATGAGCGTGCTGGATTTTCATGACCTTAAATCACAGGCTGACGTGTATTCTGCTGTAGCAAGCTCAGCTTCTTTGTAGAAGCCGACATCTGGGCAAAGATTAGCAGAAATACCAGTTTCAATTAATAGATTTTTTAGACCCAACCCAAATTGTCAGACAGACCTAGGCCTTAAATGCTATGTGGGAATTAGCTTTCCTAAAAAATTAGCAACAGAACAGACGTGAGCAGATGACCCAGAGGTCATCTGTGAAATACCCAGCTTGGTGAAATCAGTATTTTAACTATGACCCAGATAATGAAGTATATAGTCTTGTTAATTAGTGCTATACCACATAACAAGCAGAAGGCTATGCAAAACAAGAAGCAGCTTCTAAAGCAATAGAGATACCTATTATGAGTTCTGATCACTAAAGAAAATAACTTTTGTAAGGGCTTAAATATAACTCTTGCTTTTCAAATCTTCTGATGAGCTAGCTATTACTAATGTCGAAAGGTGATGCCTGTCAGCCAAGAACTACATTAGAGTCCATAATTGAATTTCAAGAGTTGTCAAGAGCAGGCTAATAAAATAGCTGCTACTAGAATTGATGTATGAAAAAAAAAAAGTTCTGGTCTGGCAGGATGCGAAGTATGTTGCATGGTTTCCCTATGTCATTTCAAATAATATGTTCAATTTTTCTGGGCTACATTTGTCTGACATTCTTCTCTTGTATAATAATGATTCATTATATATAATTTATTCAAGCACTGTAACTCACCTCTAAGTGCCTATAAATATTACTGCAGCTAGACATTTGCATTGTAAAACAAATGTGTAACACTGGGATTTATGAAGGATCCTTTTATGTTAGTTCCTTGACAGAAAAGATAGATTCTTTCTGAAGTACAACATTGACCTTAAAATCATCTGAAAAATCTAGCATAGGAAATAATTAACAGCTCTTCCTTCTCTGCGTTGTTCAGGTAATTTGACAATTTTAGGGAGGGCTGGGGGGCAAAGTATTCCTTGGCCATTCAGAATGGATACAGCTATACTGTTGTTACATCAGTATTACTGGGAATGTTCCCATGGTTATGATGGTAATATATAATATCTGCCCTCCCACTGCTTTGCAAAAGCACAAGCCATTTCTGCGTGGAGCTTTTAGAGGTGGTGGAAGGCAGACAGATGACATTGCTACGAGGTGGAAAAAACCCATAGTTTCAGCTGGAACAAAGGCTGCACATTGTGTCACTGCACTGTTAATGAAAGGGTGTGGGATGCTGGCATCCTTTATTGCCCCTGGTAAATTGGCATGTGGATATGTAGAAATTCTTCTAAAAATGGGGGAAATCCAATGCAAGATGACAACATTCATCTAGGGCACACCAAGTCGTGAGAAGTTGGTACCGTAGTGATGTCCTGACCTGTCTTGCTGCCACCCTCACTGGCAGAGTTGTTCAGTCTAGAAAAGAGACTGAAAGGAATATACTTTGTTCTCTTTCTGTGGTGATGAGAATTAGAAGTAATGAGCTTAAGTTGCAAGATGGAACAATTATGTCGAACAGTAGGAAAACATTTCTAATAGGATGGCAAGAATTGTAATGGCACACCCAGGGAGGCTATGACATCTCCAGTGCTGCTCTCCAGCCAAACTATTAAGGACAGGTTAGAAAAATGTCTATGAGAGATAATTACTGCATAATTACTATGAGGCATAATTACTGCCACTGCAAGAATAACTCAGTGCCCATGCTCAGGTATCTCTCCAGCCTAACCATGTTCAGCCACCATGTCCTGCTCTGGCATCTGCCTACTCTTCCTGTTGCAGCCTCACATCAGTAACAGCTTGTCCTGGCCAGTAAGAACTGCCACCAGCAGGACACAGGCCAGATGTTCCTGCTTAGGGCAGGGTGGTGGACAAACTGGTCTTCCCAGGCCACTGCCAGCTCTGTTCTTCTACGATTTCTCTAATTTACTTCAAGAAATCATAATCCTTTTCCTTTATTGATCCCCTACCAAGGGTGAAGATCCACACTCAGTCTACCGATCATTAAATCCATGGCCCCCAATAGGGTAGTTTTAGCAGTGTTCAGGCCATGTGATGGGCTGCAGGCCAAAAATAGAGAAATGCAAGCATTCTCCCCAAATAGTGCTGAATAAAGATTCCTCAGCCCTCGGTTAAATATACAGTGGTTCTTCATGACATCGGGTAGTGCAACAGGAAGGCTGTCCTGGATTAATTTCTCCTGCCTGCTACTCTCTGCCTGCTCTCTGGGAAGTCATTTATTTTCTCCCCAGTGCTTTTGCTCCCCTTTTGCAGCATGGGATAAACAAGCTTCCTGATTGCACCAGGACACTGTGAGAACAGAACAGATCAGGTACTACCTTTGCCCACATATAGCTTTACCTTTAGCTGCTCTCAAAGGAAATATGAGCACAGCTACATTCTTGGTTTCATACTTATTTACACAGGGTTTAGCGGAGCATGCACTTTAGTACCATGTAACGCTCATGTCTTAAATGGAATCCATCCTTTAACTCCGATTTGCTGCTACCGTACAACCTAGAGAAGAACAGTAACAACTGCAGGTCGGCAAAATGTTTTATTATACTGAAACATACTGTACATAGATGAGAGCCAATGGTTATGTTTTATCTGTCCCATCAAACCAAAATACCTGTATGATATTTTCCATTGGCTTAAAAAGGAAATGCTAATAGAGATAATTTCATTATTAAATATATATATAATGCTTTCTATTTATTTTGTTTTATATTAGAAAGGAAAATTTGGGGATAGTGATATTGCTTAAATATATTAATATTTTCCCTCTGGGGAGCTTGTCTTCACATCTGGATAGAATACACATGGAATGAGTTCAGGGATCTCCTTCTACATGACAGCAGGTATCAACCCACATGAGATGTAAATTCAGCATGTTCAACCAGAGTGCCTGAGCTGGGGAAGAAGAGGGGTAGTCTGGGATGCCTGTTCTACCGTGTTTTTCTTTTCCTGCGTATTAAAAATTCCCCAGTATATTTTCTTCCTATTTTTTCCTCTGGATAATCCCAAGTTCGTCCTCCCTTGTTTAAACCATTGCCATAGTAATGAACAGACCACTGTTTTATCAAAAAACCTCATTTTAGCTTAGTCGAATTAATCACCATGGCTTCTTCTCTAAGTTCTGGGTGAAGGGAAGGAGAAAGAGAGATGAGTGACCTCAGAGAGTAATTCAGAGTTCCTCCACTAGGAAACCTGCACTGAATCACCTCCTGGAGAAATCTCTTCCTCTCCACTAGCTACAGTAGAAGCCCAGGAAGACTTGGCTGGAAAAAATTAGCCCTTGTGAATCTTGAGTAGGTTGACAAGAGTCCTACAGCATCCAAACCTCCTACACACTGCAACTTCAGCATATGTCTGGAGCTGTGCTTTTAGCCATCTTCAGTCATTTGCTGTTCTCCCCAGGGGCTAGAGATGCATAGTGTCTAGTCCTACAAGTTGTCCTACAAGTTGGCATTTGCACAACAGCAGATTGTCAGGCTTAGCTGGGATTTCAGTGTTTCTCTGGATTACAGAGGAACTGTTACCTATACTTAACAGTTCTGGGTTATAAATTACTGAAATACCAGTCAGGGAGGAAAGGACTGCTACAAAAATGCATAGGATAAGAGGAAAATTACCTTTCCAGTGCGCTGAAATACACTGTCTAAAATGACAGGAACAGCATCCTGTCCAGCCTCAGACCGTTAGTTGGACACTATTCACAGTTGCCATGTGTGCAACACGCTTACCATTTTCAATCAGGACTAAATTGGCCAAAACTGTACTATGTTGATACTAAAATAGTAGTAGACAATCTGTAGTGCCATGTCCTTGTCCACATTCCCTATAAACCCCTGAAAATCTAAGGCAACATTATACCACAACTGCACTATTTTGAAAACGTGTCAAGCCTGTGCTAGTCAAACTTGCTGCTCTCTGTATCACAGTACACAAATGAGCACTGTGACAGCAAAGGATCTGGTCAACTCTTGCTACTGTCACTTGAGATCACCGGGAGTTTGGGCCAAGAAGGCATCGTTACATTTTAAAAACACGAATGTTCAAAAAAGACTTGTATCTTGGTTGTTGATAGATTCATTTTCCTGGATATACTGAAGAATGTCAACTTCATTCATTGTCTGAATCTTGTTTTCCTTTGGCTTTGCCAGTGGAGATGAATGAGTGCTCCTGGGGGCAACTGCTGGCTTCTGAGGCAGTGGTGGTTTTGATGGTACCTTAGGTTTTGGTTTGGAGGTTATCTTCAAGAGTTTCTCTAAATCATCTTCAACTCTGGAATGAAAAGAAATCATCAGTAACATCTTGGGAATTTCTGAAGTGTTTTTTGTTTCGTGAGAAAATGCAATCTTGCAAAATAAAACTTTCTGCAGGAAATGATCAACTTTGATCAATTTCTCTTTCAGGAAGAGCTTTCATAAAAGTTTCAATGTTACCAAATAAGAACTGTCTTTTTATAATGTGGTTTTTCAGTTAACTGTACAAGTTAATTAATTTTACAGCATGTTTTCAAATGTCTAAATTAAAAGCAATTTGCAATTATTGAAAGAAAAAGAGCTTGATTTTAGTTTGGGAAAAAATGCTTTTGATTTGTGACAGGATGATTTGCCTCCCAGAAGCTTTCATGGGACAGTAAAATTTTTCACATTCAGCTCTACTTCCTCATCATCCCCATACCCCAAGACTCAGACTGAGCATCCCCCATGCTCAATCATGAGAAACTGGACAAACTAATGGCTTTAAAAATATTGCATTCTCATTTGCTTCCAAGAAATTGAATGAGTTTTGCAATCTGTGACCCTGTGACCATATAAACCAACTCTTTGTGGTGACCATTTTCCCCTATTTCCTAGCGAAATAACCCAAAACAGTTGAAACAGTTAAGGATGTTTTCCACCTGCATTGTTTGACCTTATCAAGAGACACAGCATGCTGTGCATGCCCAACTCTGTTCCCGTAGGAGCTGTTAAAGATTTTGAGAGAGCCCTTATAACACATTGTCTTGTGACTCCAAAAGGTGTCTGCCTTTGGAAAGTGAATATGTGGAGCAAAGGGAAAGAAGGTTGTGACACATCACATCTCTAAAAGATATAGCAGAGATGGCAAAGTAAAAATTAGCATAGCTAGAGAAGTCTTTACAGGTCACAGTAATTTCTCCTCTGAATCAAAACAGCCTCTTGTTTTGGTCCTCTGAGCACAGTGGCCAAACAAAATACCATAAGGAGTAAACACAGTTGTTAATTTCCCAAAAGACTGATAGGTAAATAATTGTTAAAGCAGTCAAAACCCAACCAGCAATCCATGCAGATAATGAGCTGTGTAATGACCAGCTACAAAAGTGAAGCCCCTGATAAAATGCTTGCCTCATATATGCTTACAAAACAGATGACTTGCAGAAGGCTCTACCCCTAACTGTAGCATACAAAATCAAGAAAGCTAAAGCCTAAGATGTACAAGCAAAAATTTTTACATGGGGGACCAAGAGCCAAAGATCAAGAGGAATAGTAGGTTTGTAATATGTGGGTATCTCCTTGCCAGACCCCAGCTCTAGTCTGATACACTTACTCTATGACCGTAGCGTTAAGACACTATGTGTCTTAACAGTGAAATGATTTAACTGTTTAATTGTTTACAAGCACTGTTATAAGAACTGTTTTTACCAAACTTCAGCACCAACTGAATCAGCCCATTAGGCTGTAACAGTGCCAGCAGCAAAAATCCCTCTGCTTCAGCCAAAGGGCAGACAGGGAAGCTACAAATGAACTAGGAGACGAAATTAAGGTGCAGGAGTTATTCCAAAGTGACTGGAATTTTCTTCGGTGCTAAAATTCCCTTCAAATACTTTTACATAGTTCACTCTTGGTGGACTTGTGAGGATAAGAAAGTCTGATGAAGTGATTCTTAAACAAGAAAGGAGTTGGTGGCACATGTGCAGCCCATCCTCTACCTCTGCCTCTGCTACATCACTACATCAAGAGGTGGCACAGTCCCTCCATCCAGGAGGATGCACTGGACGCTCTCTGTTCATCACAGCACCCATAACCATCTCATGGCAAATGGCAAGGAGCAAATGGAGATGTGACTAAGGGAACAGACAATGGCTGTTTCTCTCTGGGAGGATTCTCTGCTCATTTGAGCCCCTGGTGACTGGAAGGGGTTGGCTACAGCAGCTCTCCAGCAGCTCCACTCACTGGAACAGGGTACCAGGCATGGAGTCTAAGAAAGGTACCTTTTTAGTATCTTCTACAAGCCCCATAGGTAGGCAGTCCGTGGAGCATGAATGAGTCTCACCTTGTTTCACGTCAGGTATTTTTTGGTCCTTCCACTCATTTGTCTTTTGTAATTCATATCTTCCTCACTACCATGCAAAGAGGCCATCTTGGGGCCAGACCCCTGCGAAGCCACTGGGATAACTTCTGTTGACTAAATGGGACTGTGATCTCTTCCTTTCTCTCTTTGTTCATGAGTAGCCTTAGGAGAGATACTGTAAATGCCTCTAGCACAGACAGAACAATTGGTGGGGCCTTCTGCAGACAGTTAAATCAAAGTAGGTAGTTAAAGCAAAGCTGAGTTCTTCCATAATTTGGGAAGCAACTGATTAGGGTAACTGGCCAGGACCATGGGGAACATGATCAACAGAAGAATCAATGTATCTGAGATACTTTATTACACCATCCCTAGTGCACATTGTTTGAATGTTAAAATCACAGGGACTTAAAGACCTCCAGCACCCTCAGCTAAGGATCCCACTACTATTCAGAAAAATGGCATTATTTCAAGGGTTTCTTTTTTATGTTCACCCTTATTAAAAGCTGTGAGGAACTTAGAACTGCACTGTTCAGGCTGAAACAAACTACACTCACCATGAACTGGCCATAAAGTGAACAGGGATTAGCCTGAATTTTCTGCCATGGTCATAACCATGTAAGATAAAACCATTCTCGAAGTCTGATCTTTTTGTGACTCCCAAAGGGAATCTAAAAAGGATCAGTTTTAACCACAGCTAATCTTGTAAAACCAACTGCCTGAACACTAATATCTACAACTAGGAAATACCTAAACAGACCAACTGATGGACAGAATAGGGCCACTGTCCCCGAGCTCTGCACCTTGAACTCTACCTTGTGAACTTTGGATTCCAGCAGGCAGCTCCTGCTGTTACCTCAAATTTCATGCCTCAAGTAATTCTGGAGATTATATTCTTTTAATTAGATAGTAAGATTTCTGATGTCTCTTAGTTTCCGTGCTTCCCTGTGGGTGACATATCCCACCTAACTTAACAAAACACCTTGTCAATGTATTCCTTCCTTCTGAATTCCTCATATACATAGAAGAAATTAATTGAATTTAAGCCCAGGCATTTTTGTTTGCTGCAAACTCTGATAGCCCAGAGATATCACACCTGTGATCACATTGCCAAGACATGTTCTTGTTCTCTTTGCTGTGTAATAAACAAAACATGTTAGGGCTGGTATTTCTGAAGCGTAGCTTTCTTTAGCTGATCTGATGTGTCCTTTCCTGGCAGAAACAAATACTGAATGAATCAGTGTCCATGTCATAAAGTTTTGGTCATAAATAACAGAAACCATAATAACCAGATGAACAATACATACATATACATACAGATCATATGGAGGAAGCATGATTTTGAACTAGACGCCCTGTCCAGAAGGGGCAGCAGTAAATACAGCTCATTAACTTGATCAGATGGTACAGCCTCCTGAATTCTCTACTCCTGTGTGGCTATATATTAGTTTCTGTGCTAACCACAGCAACAAAACCACTCAGCACAATCATAAAATACCCCTGAAAGATGCAGTCCAGTAGGTTGTGGGGTTATTTTTGGGGGTGGGAGTTATTTTTGGTAGTGTGCTTTGAGCCCAGAAATTCTGCAGGAGATGATTTTTCAGTCTGAAAGCTGATAATGTAAATTTCCTTTTTTGTCCTGGATTTTTTCAAGACCTTGGTTAGACAGAAGTCTTTTACAGAGAACATAGCAGATAATATGTGGACTTTGTCTCAAAACCTGCTTTTCAGTGCTGCAGTGCTAGGCAAACTGTTTGATCTGCTGCTGTTTGATCAGGTGAGACAAACTAAAGAGGTAAAATGCAAAATGCCTCAGGCAGAGATAGAAACAAGGACTTCTATTTCTTGAGAAGTAAATGAATTCTTACAGTGCATAACTACCACCATATTTAACTCCAGGCCAGGAGGAGGAAGAAAAAAAGTCATGCAACTATTCTGAAATAACAAGGAGATTAAAGGAAGAACCTTCCCATCTTCATCCCCCATTTTTTTATAGACAATCGGGCACAGAATCCATGTAATTAATCATTCTCTAATTAGTCTCTTTCTTTTTCTGTAACAGAAAAGCAGTGCCACATTGTTTAAAATTCCTGCCATACTGTTGTGCTGATTCACAGACTCTGTTGGTGGAAAATCTCTGTTTCCAGACACAAAAAGCAATCAAAATGCTTACTGAAGAAAGGCTGTCACAAAGCCCTATGATACGACTGCTAGCATGTGGTCTTCAAGAGAGTGAACGAGTTCTGACTTGGAGACAGACACCGCTGCCATCAGAACATCAACATTTTAGATGCCACTTCTCTGAACTCTGTCTCATCTATCTGGACAAGCTCTTTGGCAGAAGAATGACTGTGTGTGTGTACAGCATCTAGCAGGATGGGGATAGTGACCTCTGCTTGCTGGGAATGCTCTAATGAGGAGAATCAGCAATGAAAGCAAGAGACAAAGACTCCCATAATTTGCTAAAGTATCCAAAAGGATCGTGCTTGAAGCTAGGTTATGCAACTCACAGGAGTTCTTGCAGAATAGACTATTATCTTCCCCTGTCTTATTATCAGTGTCTTTATTTTGTCTGGTGTTAATTCCAAGTACAATAGATACCTTCGTGAAGCCTTGTGGAGAGATGTAATATCACATATATGACTTGGGAAAAGACTTGTGCCCAAAAATAGGCAGGAGGCTTCGAAGTATCTGTTGACCGTCACTTCTGCTATGGTCAGTAGACACAGTGTGACATGTAACAGGGCCCCTGGAAATTATACAGGCTGGTTAACCACAGGAGTGCAAAGCACAGGGGGCTGTGTAGGAGGTATCTCCCCTCCTGCTTTCCCCTGTGGTCTATTAGTGCTAAATTCATACTGCTACTTTAAGCAGTGCGAGGAAATATGTCTGGACAGTGGAACATGAGAGCCTGTACTATTGAAATGCTAGAAGAACCACTGGCACAACTTTGGTCTGGGACAGATGAG